AAGCGCCTCTGTGAACATAAAAAGAATGAGGTAAATATGAGTTTGTGTGATGATTGACTGACTGATTTACTGACTGACTTATTGACTGACTTACTGACTCATTTACTGACTGACTTGATTTACTGATTGACTGTATTACTGACTGACTTGATTTACTGACTAGCTTATTGACTGACTTACTGACTCATCTACTGGCTGACTTGATTTACTGATTGACTGTATTACTGACTGACTTGATTTACTGACTGACTTACTGACTGATTTACTGACTACTTACTGACTTGACTGATTTATTTACTGAATTAAAGCTAGACTTTTCACTGAAGAGGACCCTGAAACGGTGTCTAAAGCAGCTGATGCCTTACCGTCAGTTGTATAATATACTGCAGGGTAAAATAGAACAGAAATCCATTACAGAATTTATGCACACTCCAGTACAACCATCGACCTTCAGTACCAGTACCTCTACCATCCGCCTCAGCCTAGTAGGGCCACAGCATAACTCTCCACTCTCCACACCCATCCACAAACACCAGCACCCACAATTTAACGTTAAGAAATACTATTATTTCTGTTGCATTTGTAATCTTAAACAGTAAAAAATATAATACAGTAGGGCCCCACTTATACGGCGGTTAGGTTCCAGGCTGTCGCCGAAAGCAGACATCGCCGGAAGGCAGAACTCCTTTTCTTTCCATTTATAAATGCATATAAATGCCAACAACAAGTTTACACTAAATTATATTAAGTTAGTAATAGAACTAGGCATTAAAAACACACAAAGTAAAATACAGTCACAGTAAATTCATTACTTATCTTAAAGCATTTGTAATCTTAATGTAGGGGGAGAGGTGGGGTAGTACTTATTTGTAGGAAGTCAGGTGCAGGTAGCCCAGGTGTAGGTAGCACTGGCTCCCCGTCTCATACTTAATTTTAAAGATATTTAAAACATCCCAGAGAGGTAAAATGCACATACAGTACACTCATTATTTACCTTAAAATATGTGTAGTCTTAATATAGGAAGAGTGGTGAGTACTATTAATTTGTATAAAGTCAGTGTAGGTAGCCGGTAGGTGTAAACCTGGCTACACCTACCGGCTACCTACACTGTGGCCCAGAGCCATATTATTAACATCGACATGCCTTGTTCACTGAATTTAATCATTTCTAACAACTACCTTTAGATGCCGTCATAAACGAAGGTAGAAGTAATGAATAATTCATGCCGAAAATTGTAAACAAAAGCGGAGTGAGGGAGTGGCTGGGCCAAACGCAGATTCATACACGTTTTCTCTGATGGCTGAACAGAGGAAACGTAATGTTGTCCCTCCACCCGGCTCCACAAGTATTATTATCAGAGCATATAAAATATGCAATAAATGCCAGACAACAAGTTTACACTAACTTAGAAATAGAAATAGCAATAGAAATAGGCATTAAAAACACAATAAAAGGTAAGATACACACAGAGTACACTTATTACTTACCTTAAAATATTAATATTAATGTGTGAGAGGTGAGTGGCAGGGTGTTTATTGAATAAAATCAGAATGGCACACCATCATCCTCTAGCTTGGCACTTAAAGCAAGAGGCTTACGACTTCTCTTTTCATTACAAGCCAACCTTAGATGCCATCGTCAATGAGAGCCACTAGTTAACGAAAGAGTAAATGAAAAGAGAGAACGAGATACAGAGTTCAGACAGTGTAAGAACACAAACTGAACAGGTATGACGATCACTTGGTCAGGCGAAATTCTGTCGCACTGACACTCTAACACACACCAGGTCCTGAGCTATAGCTTCTGACCTAACTTGTTCTGGCATTTGCACACTGTCGTAGTCAGGGATTTGGTAGTGCTGAACTTAGACTGAGTATTAAGGGAGTTTTATGCCTTTTATGGAGGATCTGCTGAAGGTCTCCAGTTAGGGTTGTTATTTTGTCTCCCTGTTCCTGACTCTGTGCTGCTGCTGCTTTTGACTTTATTGCTGTTGGCGAATGGTCACTGTACTGTTCAAACAAGCTGTTCTGATTGCCAGTTTGGTCAGGGAGATAGATTATTTGAGGATGTTTAGTCAGTCACTGGTTAAGTTGAGTCGAGTCTTGAGACATAGTGAACTACTTGGAGCACATATACACATTCACACACACACTCACCTGTATATATTAGTATTATGTTTATAATTGCTGACAATGTACCAGACAGTAATTAAGAGCCATAAAGATGTGAAATGTGTCTTTACATTATTATACTGAATATCTTACTTTTGCAATACGAGAAAAGTGTAGGAACTTATATTCTGTATTATATAAAGCATTTACTTTGATATTGTCCAACTAGACAACTTTAATTTTGTTAATAAACATATCTTACTTTTAATTTTGATTAGTTAGTATCCTATCAGTTGTGATCCTAAAGTACTTATGATAACTGGACCAGTATACTGTTTATTTGTTACAAAATCCCAGTCACAGGCTGAATGCTAGAGGGGCAGACCTTTCTAGTATTCTCTGGAGATGTCTATGCTTAATAGATATTGCATTTTTTATAACAACATGGCTAATGCCTGGGGATCTCACATCACTGGCTGCCACATGGCTAATGCCTGGGGATCTCACATCACTGACTGCCACATGGCTAATGCCTGGGGATCTCACATCACTGGCTGCCACATGGCTAATGCCTGGGGATCTCACATCACTGGCTGCCACATGGCTAATGCCTGGGGATCTCACATCACTGGCTGCCACATGGCTAATGCCTGGGGATCTCACATCACTGGCTGCCACATGGCTAATGCCTGGGGATCTCGCATTACTGGGTGCCATATGGGTAACAGTTAACAATCTCTTATTGCAGGGTTCCAAATGAACAATGATTAAGGATTTTGCATCATTCAAGAGAGAAGATAGCATTACACAGCCTGTGTGCAACAAGTCATGGTTAATCTGAAAAATTAAATTGCAGATGTGGCCCAAATAACATTAAGATCCAGATTAAAATTCAAATACTGTATTTCTTTTTATGCAGTATGTATAGAGATAAAATCCTAGGTAGTAGGTTGGTAGACAGCAACCGCCCAGGGAGGTACTACCGTCCTGCCAAGTGAGTGTAAAACGAAAGCCTGTAAATGTTTTACATGATGGTAGGATTGCTGGTGTCCTTTTTTCTGTCTCATGAACATGCAAGATTTCAGGTATGTCTTGCTACTTCTACTTACACTTAGGTCACACTACACATACATGTACAAGTGTATATATACATACCCCTCTGGGTTTTCTTCTATTTTCTTTCAAGTTCTTATTCTTGTTTATTTCCTCTTATCTCCATGGGGAAGTGGAACAGAATTCTTCCTCCATAAGCCATGCGTGTTGTAAGAGGCGACTAAAATGCCGGGAGCAAGGGGCTAGTAACCCTTTCTCCTGTATATATTACTAAATTTGAAAGGAGAAACTTTCGTTTCTCCTTTTGGGCCACCCCGCCTCGGTGGGATACGGCCGATGTGTTGAAAGAAAGTATACAGATAATGTAGTTTACAAGTAATAAAACATTGTTAGACACAAAAGAAAGGCACTAGCATGCAATGGGGTATCAGCAGATCATATGGTAGGAGAGGTGCACTCTCTTTGTCTCAAAAGAGATAACAGCAGTAGAAACTTGTAAACTGTTAGAAAAGGCAACATGAACACCACATATATGATCATAAAAAATAAAACAAATATGTCTTTTTTTTAAAGCCAAAAAACAGGGAGAACAAGAAGCCACAATCATACACTGTGACAAATGCAGCTCCGATAAGATACTGGAAAGTTTCTCTTCGCAAATAAATATTAAAACATGGAAACTGATTTAAACGAGAAGCAGTGATTTCAATAAGAAGTAGTAAGTGCCACAACCACTGCAAAATGTTGTAAATTTTATTAAAATGACAAGACACCACAAGCATAGCTCTGCTACTGCATTTGCAAGTAGGTAGTTACAAATAGGTAATCACACAGAGAGAGCATATTTTTTTTTTAACACTGGCTCTTTCCCACTGAGGCAGGGTGACCTGAAAAAGAAGAAAAGAAAGTGTTTCTTCTTCCTTCAATAAATCAGTCATGTCCCACCGAGGCAGGGTGACACATAAAGAAAAACAAAAGTTCCTCTCTTTAACTTTAGTAATTTATACAGAAGGGGTTACTAGCCCTTTGTTCCCAGCATTTTAGTCACCTCTTATGCCACACATGGCTTACAGAGGAAGGATTCTTTTCCACTTCCCCCATGGAGAAGAGAGTACTTTTCTTTTTTTAACAAGTCGGCCATCCCCCACAGAAGCAGGGTGACCCAAAAAAAAAAAACACTCACCATCATTCATACATAATCACTGTTTTTGCAGAGGCCCTCAGATACGACAGTTTAGATGTCACTCCAAACAGCAGATATCCCAAACCCCTCTTTTAAAGTGTAGGCACTGTACTTCCCACCTCCAGGACTCAAGTCTGGCTAATTGGTTTCCCTGAATCCCTTCACAAAATATTACCCTGCTCACACTCCAACAGCTCGTCAGGTCCCAAAAAGCATTCATCTCTATTCACTCCTAACACGCTCATACATGGCAGCTGTATGTCCAAGCCCCTTTCACACAAAACCTCTTTTACTCACTCCCTCCATCCTTTCCTAGGATGAACCCTACCCCTCCTCCTCTCCACTACAGATTTATACACACTCCAAGTCATCTTATTTTGCCCCATCCTCTCTAAATGACCAAACCACCTCAACAACCCCTATCAGCCCTCTGAATAATACTTTTTAGTAACTCCACACCTCCTGATTTCCACACTGCGAATTCTCTGCATAATATTTGCACCACACATTGCCCTTAGATACGACATCTCCATTGCCTCCAGTGGCTAGTGAATGCTGCAGCATTCACTACCCATGCTTCACACCCATATAAGAGTATATATACTTATCAATTCAGAGGTTACTAAATGAAAACAACATTTCTACAACTTGCCTGATTGCTGATGTTTTGAATTGGCTAGTGTATAGGAGACATAATGAGGAGCAAATTTTGAGTCATTCTGATCGTGGTTTTCCTCCTCACTGTCGCCTTCATTGTACTTCATTACTCCAAACATACACTGGTTGTAAGTTGGCAGAGCTGTTGGAAATTTCAAAAGAGATTAATATAAACAGGATGACTGTGAGCAGTAACACAACTCATTTTGTCAAGAAAATACTCTTAAAATGCTGCACTTATTGGGCAATATAGTCCTATACTATGCATCATTTATTAACTTTACCGCAAAAATTGTGATAGTTAAGTTGGCCAAAACAAAAAAAATAATGAGCCAGCTGGCTCCTAACAGCAACAGCATTGTTGAACACACAATTGACAAGAGCGAATGGCCTCAGGCCAGACTACAAGGCTAGGAAAAAAAACTGAAGCCAGTCAAAATTCAGGGACACTGGAAATAAGTCACTTTGTCTGACTTTTTTGGTTTATCCTGGGTAAATTACATTATGTATGATTACTGTACTTGTGTGTACCTGTGCCTAAATATACATGTACTTATTTACAGTAGACCATTGTTTAACACGGTTTTGTCTGGCATGTTTTGGTTATAGCACGATTGAAGAATTGTGGCATATTTTTGTATAACACTTCGTAAAATTAACTTAACAAAATTCACAAGAGGGGAAAAAATTTTGAGTGCGTCTTCCCTCGTGGGATACATACCATCCTCTGACAGGAGATAATATCTTTTTCTTGCCATATCTTAAATCTGCCAAGCAATCATGGCACCCAGTAGACATACAAGTGTTGGTGAAAGTGGCAGAAAAGGTTTAAGCATTTCAGTCTTAGAATTAACGAGGAAAGTAGAGATATTAGAGAAGAGATAGCCAGTGACTGTCAAGAAGCGCCTCTGTGCACATAAAAAGAATGAGGTAAATATGAGTTTGTGTGATGATTGACTGACTGATTTACTGACTGACTTATTGACTGACTTACTGACTCATTTACTGACTGACTTGATTTACTGATTGACTGTATTACTGACTGACTTGATTTACTGACTAGCTTATTGACTGACTTACTGACTCATCTACTGGCTGACTTGATTTACTGATTGACTGTATTACTGACTGACTTGATTTACTGACTGACTTACTGACTGATTTACTGACTACTTACTGACTTGACTGATTTATTGACTGAATTAAAGCTAGACTTTTCACTGAAGAGGACCCTGAAACGGTGTCTAAAGCAGCTGATGCCTTACCGTCAGTTGTATAATATACTGCAGGGTAAAATAGAACAGAAATCCATTACAGAATTTATGCACACTCCAGTACAACCATCGACCTTCAGTACCAGTACCTCTACCATCCGCCTCAGCCTAGTAGGGCCACAGCATAACTCTCCACTCTCCACACCCATCCACAAACACCAGCACCCACAATTTAACGTTAAGAAATACTATTATTTCTGTTGCATTTGTAATCTTAAACAGTAAAAAATATAATACAGTAGGGCCCCACTTATACGGCGGGTTAGGTTCCAGGCTGTCGCCGGAAAGCAGACATCGCCGGAAGGCAGAACTCCTTTTCTTTCCATTTATAAATGCATATAAATGCCAGACAACAAGTTTACACTAAATTATATTAAGTTAGTAATAGAACTAGGCATTAAAAACACACAAAGTAAAATACAGTCACAGTAAATTCATTACTTATCTTAAAGCATTTGTAATCTTAATGTAGGGAGAGAGGTGAGTAGTACTTATTTGTAGGAAGTCAGGTGCAGGTAGCCCAGGTGTAGGTAGCACTGGCTCCCCGTCTCATACTTAATATACGATATTTAAAACATCCCAGAGAGGTAAAATGCACATACAGTACACTCATTATTTACCTTAAAATATGTGTAGTCTTAATATAGGAAGAGTGGTGAGTACTATTTATTTGTATAAAGTCAGTGTAGGTAGCCGGTAGGTGTAGCCTGGGCTACACCTACCGGCTACCTACACTGTGGCCCAGAGCCATATTATTAACATCGACATGCCTTGTTCACTGAATTTAATCATTTCTAACAACTACCTTTAGATGCCGTCATAAACGAAGGTAGAAGTAATGAATAATTCATGCCGAAAATTGTAAACAAAAGCGGAGTGAGGGAGTGGCTGGGCCAAACGCAGATTCATACACGTTTTCTCTGATGGCTGAACAGAGGAAACGTAATGTTGTCCCTCCACCCGGCTCCACAAGTATTATTATCAGAGCATATAAAATATGCAATAAATGCCAGACAACAAGTTTACACTAACTTAGAAATAGAAATAGCAATAGAAATAGGCATTAAAAACACAATAAAAGGTAAGATACACACAGAGTACACTTATTACTTACCTTAAAATATTAATATTAATGTGTGAGAGGTGAGTGGCAGGGTGTTTATTGAATAAAATCAGAATGGCACACCATCATCCTCTAGCTTGGCACTTAAAGCAAGAGGCTTACGACTTCTCTTTTCATTACAGCCAACCTTAGATGCCATCGTCAATGAGAGCCAACTAGTTAACGAAAGAGTAAATGAGAGAGAGAACGAGATACAGAGTTCAGACAGTGTAAGAACACAAACTGAACAGGTAGTGGACGATCACTTGGTCAGGCGAAATAAATGCGTATTAATATGTGTCTACTTTTAGTTTTCACGTCCATTTGTAAGAGTTTGTAAAACTTTACCTCAATATTTTTTTTATTTTAATAATAATTACCTCACAATACAAATACTCTTTCTCCATGGGGAAGTGGAACAGAATTATTCCTCCGTAAGCCATGCGTGTTGTAAGAGGCGACTAAAATGCCGGGAGCAAGGGGCTAGTAACCTCTTCTCCTGTATATATTACTAAATGTAAAAGGAGAAACTTTCGTTTTTCCTTTTGGGCCACCCTGCCTCGGTGGGATACGGCTGGTGTGTTGAAAGAAAGAAAGAAGACAAATACTCTTACATTGTGTACAAGTTATACAAGTTAGTTCAGAATACACAAACAGCAACACACCATTTTTAGAGTGAACGAAGATAATAATATTAATAATAATAATAATAATAATATATTATTATTATTAGTAGTAGTAGTAGTATTAATATTAATACTAATATTATTATTATTATTATTAATATTAATAATAATAATATTGTTATTTATTATAAAAAACACTAAACCCACAAGGGTCGTGAATTGCTATACATAGAGTAAAGGCAAATGAAAAGAATATTTTTCTACAGTTACCCCCCAGTGTTTGACTAGAGAAAACGTAATTTTTCAGACACTACCTACACAGCTGCTTTGTAAACAAATCTCATATTTACATCAATTTTTATTCTGAGTGTATGTATCATGTTTATATGCTATGTAATGGGTTTCATATATAATTTTGAGGAAAATATCATAGATGGATTAATGAAAATGCCTATATTAATGTAAAATAAGACTTTTAGTGTGCCCAAGAGTAATTATTATTACGTAGTATTGGCGTCATGAGTAGAGAGACTTAGCGATTTTAATGTGTACCTGCACACCAGCACAGTGTGTAAGTATATTTAGGTACAGGTACACATAAGTATAATTATCAGAGTACATATAAAATATATAGGTAGTAGGTTGGTAGACAGCAACCGCCCAGGGAGGTACTACCGTCCTGCCAAGTGAGTGTAAAACAAAAGCCTCTAATTGTTTTACATGATGGTAGGATTGCTGGTGTCCTTCTTTCTGTCTCATAAACATGCAAGATTTCAGGTACGTCTTGCTACTTCTACTTACACTTAGGTCACACTACACATGCATGTACAAGCATATATATGTATGTATACACATCCCTCTGGGTTTTCTTCTATTTTCTTTCTAGTTCTTGTTGTTGTTTATTTCCTCTTACCTCCATGGGGAAGTGGAACAGAATTCTTCCTCCGTAAGCCATGCGTGTTGTAAGAGGTGACTAAAATGCCGGGAGCAAGGGGCTAGTAACCCCTTCTCCCGTATAAATTACTAAATTTAAAAAGAGAAACTTTCGTTTTTCTTTTTGGGCCACCCTGCCTTGGTGGGATACGGCCGGTTTGTTGAAAAAAAAAAAAAAAAAAAAAAAAAAAAAAAAAAAAAAAAACATATAAAATATGCAGTAACTTTAAAACGCTTGAAATTTTGGAAAGTTTCCTGACATAACAGATGTGGTCACGGAAAATGTAAACAAACCGGGTGGGGGCGCCGTATTTAAAAGACCGCTTGCCGTATAGCAAATTTTGGTCATAATTTGACATCGCCGTATTAGCGGAATGCCGTAAGGCAAAACGCCGTAAAGCGGGGCCTTACTGTACATCACAACAATGAACTACAATTACATATTCACTATTATTTTTGTAAGATCTGGAGGTCTAAAAAAAAGTTGTTTGGCTTTTTTGAGGCTCCCAGGAACATAACCCTATTTTTCCCACAAGTTCTTCAGCTTGTCTAAGACGATTTTAACTAAAACGGCATTTTCAGGAACGTAACTACTGTGTTAAACAACAGTCTACTGTACTTAATTAGCTTTTTTCCATTTAATATTTATTAAACTTGGGTTTCAATATTTTGCTTCACCACATTATACAAACACTTTTCAAATGCATGTATCTTAAACTTTCTCTTAATGCACTGATTTATGCAAATCCTGTGTTAATCAACAAAAGATTTTAAATCATATATATTTATCAACATTTATAAGTTTACCTAGGTAGCAGGTTGGTAGACAGCACCCGCCCCGGGAAGTACTACCATCTTGCCAAGTGAGTGTAAAACGAAAGCCTGTAATTGTTTTACATGATGGTAGAATTGCTGGTGTCTTTTTTCTGTTTCACAAAGATGCAAGATTTCAGGTACGTCTTGCTACTTCTACTTACACTTAGGCCTGGTATGTACAAGCATATATATACACATCCCTCTGGGTTTACTTCTACTGTCTTACTAGTTCTTGTATTTGCTTATTTCCTCTGATCTCCATGGGGAATGGAACAGAATTTTTTCTCCGTAAGCCATGGGTGTCATAAGAGGTGACTAAAATACTGGGAGCAAGAGGCTGGTAACCCCTTCTGTATATATTACGTAACCCCTTCTCCTGTATGTATTACTAAAGTTAAAAAGAGAACTTTTGTTTTTCTTTTTTTGGGCCACCCTGCTTCGGTGGGATACAACTGGTTTGTTGAAAGAAGATGTCTCACCTTTGAAGTTTCAACATTAACCTCTTTCAGCAAATCATCAGTGACATCATTTTGCCTTTAGATGGCACTACAGTTAATAATGTCTGGAAAGTGCTTCAGGAAACGGTATACACGAGAGAAGATGTATTGTACGGGCATAACTTGTTAATATGGTGCTCACATTAGAGCATTTTACTAATACTGGACTACTAAACACAAACATGAACTAAAACAAATACAAATTACATTTTAAACACAACTCTCTACAAATGAATGTAATATTAGCTGTTTAGCCTGTTGCAAACACGTTAACCCCATTGCAGCATTTACTACTTTGACTCACGAAATTGTAATGACACAATTGCAAACAAATCACAGAGCCGGTGAGGTTCGAACCCATGTCAAGTGAGTGCAAAAACTCACAGTCCAGTGTGTTAACCAGTGGGCCAGCTGGTCAAGTGGTTAATGGCTAATGTCCTTAACCACTGGCCTGTGAGTTTTTGGACTCACATGCCATGGGTTCAAGCTCCACCTCTTCCATGATATAAGAATTTGCAAGAATGTGAATAAATCTTTGGTGGCCTGGTGGCTAAAGCTCTCACTTCACATGGTGAGGGTCTGGGTTCCATTCTCAGCCAGGGTAGAAACACTGGGCGTGTTTCTTTACGCCTACTGTCTATGTGCACCCACCAGTAAAATGGGTACCTAGGTGTTAGTCAACTGGTGTGGGTCCCATCCTGGGACATTGACCTAATTTGCCCAAAATGCTCAGCATAAGAGGCTTTCTATATAGTAGTATGTCACTGATGTCAGCTAGGACTGTATACCTTGTACATGTACTTGTACAAGGTGTACAGTCATAAATAAATATATTATTTCAACAATTTTTATTCAACAAGTTGGCCATCTCCCACTGAGGCAGGGTGACCCAAAAAGAAAGAAAATCCCCCAAAAGAAAATACATACTTTCATCATCATTCTACACTTTCACCTCACTCACACATAATCACTGTCTTTGCAGAGACACTCAGATATGACAGTTTAGAAGTCTCTCCAAACTGTCAATATCCCAAACCCCTCCTTTAAAGTGGAACCCCAGTTTTTGTCCAGTCTGGTTATCATACAATTAAGTTTTCGACCACTTTTTTCAGAGAAATTTTCCCCATTTTCATACATCCGCTTGGAAACTGTCCATACCAGACGCCTCCGCCTGGCTGTGGAACACAGTTGCTCATACGTTCATGACTCAGTTTGCCTTTGTTGCTCGTAGAGGGTGGTAGTGATGGTGGTAGAGGTTGGTAGTGATGGTGGTAGAGGGTGGTAGTGATGGTGGTAGAGATAGCCTTCCCTCCCTTTCCCCTCCTCACCGTCTTCCATATGCTAACAAGAGTCTTCAATAAAGGTAAAAGTGATTTAAATGTTCATTTATCCATTTCATTAGTGCTTTATATTTATTTCTAATTGTTTTCTGTATGTAAAACTATAGTTATTTTCTATAAAAAAAAATTTTTTTTTGTTAATATTTTTGGGTGTCTGGAACGGATTAATTGGATTTCCATTATTTCTTATGGGAAATATTACTTCAGTTTTCGTACAAATCGGTTTTCGATCGACCTTCTGAAATGGATTAAAGACAAAAACCAGGGTTCCACTGTAGTGAACGAAAGATAATTTAGTGCAACTATGTAGAAGAAATTAACATGCAGGATTAAATAATTTAACAATTATGGCATATATTACAGCACCCATATAGCACAAATCAGAGCTGAAATTTTTAATATACTTACGCATTCCTGGGTACTGCTGCATGCCTGGGAATGTGGGCGCAGATGGGGTTACTGGTCCAGAATAATCTGCAGGTGGGATGTTAGGGTTGTATGGAAGCTGACCAGGGAATGTTAGTGCAGTAGGATTGTCTGGGTAGCCAGAAGGTGGTAGCTGACCTGGGTAGCCAGGAGCACCTGGCTGACCTGGGTAGCCAGGAGCACCTGGCTGACCTGGGTAACCAGGAGCACCTGGCTGACCTGGGTAACCAGGAGCACCTGGCTGACCAGGAAAGAACCCTGGTCCAGGAACAGGAACAAAGCCTGGCGCAGAGACCTGACCAGGAGCAGGAACATAACCTGGTATGGGAGGCTGGCCAGGAGCACCAATTGGTTGACCTGGATATGAAACAGGTGCCAGCATAAACGAGCTGAAGTACTGCTTCAGAGGTATAGAACCTATTACCAGTGGTGACTTGTACTCTAGGTCTGTGTGGCACCCAGAGCAATCCATTTCAAACTGCAAAAGAAAACAAAAACCCAAACTACACTTTAAAATAATATTAATATGCAAGATAAAATGTACATTATTTTAGATAATTCCAAGTACAGTAAGTCCTCAACTTACGAACACATTGAGAATTTCTGCATTGTGTATAATATTCATAATACAGGAAGTCTTCAACTTATGAACATGCTGGGGACCTTTTGCACTGTGTATAATATTATACATAATAATGATATAATAATGATATTATGCACAATACAGAAGATTCTCAATGTGTTCCTAAGTCAAGGACTTAATGTATGCATTTCTACTATGATATGATACACTAAGCACAGAAGACAGGACACCACAAACAGTTCTGCTTTAGTAAATACATATATGTACAAATGAGTCATCAGCTCAGATAACCAAGACTTCACTGAATCCAGATTTTCAAACCATTGTTTTTTTTAACACAACGGCAGTCTCCCACCAAGGTAGGGTGACCCAAAAAAGAAGAAACACTTTCACCATCACTCACTCCATCACTGTCTTGCCAGAGACATGCCGATACTATGGTTCAAAACTACAAATATCAACACCCATAATTTTTTTTTATTAACACATCAGCTGTTTCCCACCAAGGCAGGGTGACCCATAAATTCTTATCATAAACAAAAGCAGAATTTGGATAAAAGCACTTGCACTTACCTTAAATTCATAATCGATGTCAATGATGCGACAAAATTCCAGATGGGAGGGTGGAAGAGAAGGGATAAGCATCTCAACACCACTCCAGATGTCATCATCACCTGGTTTGATCTCGGGTCTCTTGATTTCCGCTACTTTTCTAGACTCTCTCTTGCGACTTCCTTCTGCATAGTAAGTTATAGTCTGGAAAACATTAGGTATATAAAACAAGTGACCTGTAATGAAAGTAGGAATACAGTATATGCTGAATAATGCTTAAATATACAGTAAACCCTTGATGTAACAAACCTTGATATAACAGCCTTTTAACATAATGGGCAAAAACCCACTATGTTTATTGTAATATAACTGAAAATTGTGTGTGCAGTCCTATTTTAAGTATAGAGTACTAATTGCTATTTTTCCCTTTTTTAACATTATTCTGTTTTAACAAACAGTCAGACAATCCCCCCAATTAGTCCATTTTATGGAGGGTTTACATGTATCATGTGCACTTTGTATTAAGTACAGATTTTAAATATTTTTCAATACCTCGAGGCCTAAAAGTTCTTCCAAGTATGTATGCTCAAAACTATACAGTGCTTTAAGATTTTAAACAGACATTACAAATTATTTGTGCCTAAAAAGCAAAGATGTATAAAATTTAAAACTTTTTTTTTCAACAAACCAGCCATATCCCACCAAGGTAAGGTGACCTAAAAAAAACAAAAAAAAGAACAATTTTCTTTTGAAATTTAGTAATTTATACAAAAGAAGAGGTTACTGGTCCCTTGCTCCCTTAAAAATTTTATACAAATAACATTTCATTAAGTTTTGAAGAATGGAAAACATTCCTATGTCAGAATCCTGGGAATGCATCTGGAATATGTCACATGTACATTCATACCAAATACTTCCCCCTCATGAGCCTAGTGTGGTCTGTCTCATGCTTCTGATCTTTTTTTTTTTCAGCATTCTACAGTTTCTGCTCACGTGGAGATAATCATTTGTTTAGTGGCAGTACCACAGCACTTTTAAATCTAGCTAGCACCTGGCACATGACAAGTGGCCCTCACCAGAGAGATAGACAGAGAGAGAGAGAGAGAGAGAGAGAGAGAGAGAGAGAGAGAGAGAGAGAGAGAGAGAGAGAGAGAGAGAGACAGACAGAGACAGAGACAGAAACAGTGAGACAGAGACAGAAACAGTGAGACAGAGAGACAGAGACAGACAGAGAGACAGAGACAGAGAGACAGAGACAGAGAGACAGAGACAGAGAGACAGAGACAGAGACAGAGACAGAGAGAGAGAGAGAGAGAGACAGACAGAGAGAGAGAGAGACAGACAGACAGACAGAGAGAGAGAGAGAGAGAGAGAGAGAGAGAGAGAGAGAGAGAGACAGACAGACAGAGACAGACAGAGACAGACAGAGACAGAGAGACAGAGAGACAGACAGAGACAGAGACAGAGAGACAGAGAGAGAGAGAGAGAGAGAGAGAGAGAGAGAGAGTGTGTGTGTGCTGACACTATGGTATGATACATATAACTGCAGTCAATGTCATGAGAGCATTCAGGTGGTCTTGTTGGCACAATAAATGAATGTTGCTGGGTGAGTGGAAGCAGTATGATACTACAACGATCTCAGAAGCAAAAGATAAACCAATTTGAAGTAAGAGAAAGTCGAGTACTTGGCATGAATGTCATTGTGGCAAATTCCACGTGGGCTTGACTACAGAAAATTTTTATATACAGTATTCAGAATTTAATTTATAAAACTCCTCCTAGGTGGCTATAAAACTCAAGTTATACAGAAATAGCCCACAAATAGGAGAAAGAAACTTATGATGATGTTTTGGTCCAACTAGTTAATGGTCCAAGTTGGACTGAAATGTCACAAGTGTCTTTCTCCTATGTGTGGGTTACTTGAGTACTGTTCCAGTCATGGTATTATGCCTGTTTTGTTCTCAGTTATATGCAGTATACTATAGAACACAAGCCCAAGATAAGTGTAGAAGGATACATACACTAAGAGGTACGTATTTCTTGTTGTTCACTTTAGTCCTACAATCCCTATTTGAGGGATTAAAGTATCCTTGACTGGTGATGTTCTGATAACATATAGCTTCAATGACCCACAGTAGTTAGTAAGATTTAAATTTAATAAATCAATCAACCAATGAAAACATCTAAAATACAGAAAAAATTTACAGTAAAAAAATTATTGATTTGCAATTTGCAGGATATTTTATTGTCCGGGACACCACCTGGTACCTTGTCATTTGGTGACATTTGTCTATATCTTGTTATAAAATCATACATATACATAAACAACCTCAAAGGGGAAAGGGAGGAGGAGATGAAACGATATACTGAAGTTAATAAAAAAAAATCAAGGGTCTACACTGCCCAATTTTAGTAGGAGGTTCATATTCTCATTATATTTATGCAGCTGTTGCAGTCAGCTATATGGGTTCAGCACTCCCACATGAATAAAAAAAATAATAATTATATTCATGTAGAGCGCTAAACCCATACATGTCAGTCAGCACGAGGAATTAATTAAACTCAACCCCTCTGTCTATTACTCATGAAACTATGATGAATATGTGGAGCAGTGGGCCACCAGCAGCAACAGCCTGGTTGACCAGGCAAACACCAGAAGAGCCTGGCCCATGGCTAGGCTCCAGGAGGAAATAAACTCAGAACTCCTCAAAGGTTTACAAAAGGCAATGAAAATTCACAGGTGCAGTAAGGATTTCTCTAGAAGAAAGTTCACTATTTTGAACAAGTGTGAGTATTTTAAGAGTATTTTAATCATAAAATATTATCTTTAAGATATTGTCTGGAAAGAAGTAAAATGATAAAAAGTATGAAAAACTTGAACATATCCTTCCATCAGCAATGACCAAGGAAATATAATATTGCTTATGTGTCTATTTAAAACAACTGTTAGTATCAATTCCCAAGATTATCCCTTCCATTCCTGGCCCAGAATTACATCTTGTTGGACATTAAACACAATATACCCCGCTATGGCACTCAACATAACAGAATGTATTAATACCTAAGATCAACAGAATGAGCCAGACTATTTTTAGTTAATTATTTTAACACACCAGCCTCTGCAATTGAGGTAAGTGACCCAAAAAAGAGGAAACACTTTTACAGTCACTTGTTCAATTACTGTCTTGCCAGAAGCATGCTGACACCACAGTTCAGATGTCCTCCAAACTATAACATCTCCATCCTTCCTTCAGAGTGCAGGCACAGGTGCTTCTTACCTCTAGGACTCAAGTCCAGCTAACCATTTTCACTCATTATTTAAGCAAAATATGTGTAATATTTTTTATAATGAAAGTCTTTTAAGAACACTGGTACGGTAGTGTTACTGCACTCCAGCTGGTGCACCAGCTGACAGATAGAAATAGTACCACGACATGAATGACTATCACTAACACCAACAGCAGAACAACCAGTAACAGCCTTATCAGTAGCACTACTAGCAACACTATCAGTAGCACTACTAGCAGTACCATCAATAGCAACATAGATAGCACTACAGTACTAGCAACAGCATGAGTAAAACAACAGGAGCAGCATCAGTAGCACCTCTCTGCATTTCACAGGTAAGCAAGAGGATGCGCTACCTACTGTTAATAACTTCAAATGCCTCCCCATTTTTTTTGACAAGTCACAAGCACCAAGCTTAAGGATCATATAGCCATATTTCCTTAAAACAGTTCTGTCCATATTGAAAGCCCATAGAAAATCATTAAAGATGTAATAAGGATTACAATAGTAAGAAGGTTAAGAGAAAGACCACATTTTGCCTCAAGTTATAATGCTAAGAAGCTGACCACTGTTGCCAAGTATTAGCATATACATTAGGTATACAAGTAGGTAGTAAGTTGGTAGATGGCAACCATCCAGGGAGGTACTACCGTCCTGTCAAGCGAATGTGGAATGGAAACCTGTTAATTATTTTGCATTCTGGTAGGATTGATGATCTTTTCTTTCTATCATGGACATGTAAATCTTACAACCTTCTATGTACATTTAGCATACACACAGCTTTACTTTCCAATTTGCTTCTTAAAAGTTCTTAATCCTTTAACATTTCCTCTCCAATCTAAGACTGGCCTGAGGGGAAGATAACAGTAAAGTTTTTTTTAACACGCTGGCCGTCTCCCACTGAGGTGGGGTAACCTGAAGAAGAAACACTTTCACCATCATTCACACTATCATTGTCTTGCCAGAGGCATGCAGATACGACAGTTCAGATGTCCCTCTACACAGCAAATATCTCAAACCCCTCCTGAAAAGATAACAGTATATATACAGCATACTGGTTTTTGGGAGAGGGGGAAAAAGGATGCAAATTATTTCAGTTAATCCATACTTTTCATTTCTTGTATATACACCATCAGTGTTAAGAAAAGTATGCAAGAGCTCATCTTCAATAATATGATGGGGTCTATGAGAAAATTATGATTGCCTAACATAAATTTCCTAAAGACAGACTTTCGCAGAATGAATTTTGTACCGTCATTATGCAGGGAAGAGAGGAATGCCCTAAATGCCTGGGGCAAATCAAAGTGACATCAGGTAACATTTGCTTTAAAAAGCACAATGTTATTGTTGGAATTAATATAAGAATGAATGGAAGAGTTTTAATCCCAATATATGAAGTTGATAAGGTACTGTATCGCAAGGGTAACTTTGAGTGGTATGACTGTGAAGAAATGTATGTGAATCTTGTAAGCAAGGCTGTCAGGAAACTGAAGCAATAAAGCACATCTCATACATGCCCGAGAGTAGAGACTACAAAACTCTATACACGGCACAAGTTTCCTCTCACCTTGAAAATGCACCACACTTCGATTTCTTGCCTCATCCCAGCTCTTACTTCTGGACCATGTAGAGGATCATGCTAGATGATTCCTCTATCATCTGGAGCCAGCCTGGATGAACCTGTTATTTCAGTAGAGCTTTGATCACTAGAGCTGTCGGCATCCTTATTATGTACAAAACCATTGTTCTCAGGCTCCCCCATCTGACCCAATGTTAAGGATAGCCAGAAGACAACTATCACACCTCATGAAGGGCAACCATAAAGTTTTGCTATTGTTTCCTGTGATTTATAAAGCACTAAAACAATTCAGATAGAGTATTCAATGTTTTTAAATTAAAACATTTAAAAAATCATT